ACAGAAAACTAGCTAAGAGACAGGCGAAACGAATGACCTGCATGGTGCGGTGGTGTACGCGTCAGCCTCCGCAAAGTGTAATAGCGCGTTCGTTCCCCATCGCGTACGCCTGCGGTCCGGAGTTTTGCAAACATCTCAGCGTCATTGTGGTTGTACCGCACATAATACTCTACCCTAAAAAATTATAAGAGGCAGTAAATAAAAAGTTAACAATGTGATCTTGACTACAGCCTCGGCTTAAATGGGTTCATTTCCGATTTGGGCTCCCCAGATCAAAGCCGTTAACGGGTGATTGTTGATGGCACTGATCCATAGAAAACTAGCTCAGAGAAAGGCGAAACGAAGTATTCACATGATGTGGTGGTGAAAACTCCTGGTAAGGGTAACAGCGTGTTCAATCCCCACCGACACCTGCGATACAACGTTTTGTCAATACCTCAGCATCATTGTAGTTGTTTCACACGTAATACCCTGCCAAGAAAAATTATAGTAGGCAGTAAATAAAAAAGTTAACATTATCTCAGCATCATTGTAATGTATTACTAATACAGCATTGTAAATAAATACAGTTGTGAGAATACTTGCAAAGACTAAAGGTTAAAGTGGAACGACTAAGTGCTAGGTCAGCAGAAAACGGCGATGCAGGACTAGGCGCTTCCATTACCTCCCATTCCTTATCTCTCTCTGGCTTAACTGTCTCGATTTGTTCTCATTCTTCACTACGAGAGAGTACTTTGCCGCCTATCGACGACAACACCCACTGCCTTGCCGTCTCCGAGAGGAATCCGCTGTTTGTTTGCAATCGATTTCACCATCCGATCGTTTTTTGATGACTTTCACTTTCCCTCCTCTTTGTTTTCATTCTATCGCCTGCTGAAGTCGTTTTGACAATGGGATTTTCTTTGCTGTTCGGATCATTGCCATGTGCTTCATTGGTTGTTATCTTTTGAATACTTATGGAATAACCCTTGGACTACGAAATTGTTTTTTCACAAGCTGCTGATAATTTCCTGATAACTACCAAACTTGAAGGGTTCAAAACGTGAGCGGCTTACAGAAGAGACTTTGCTCTATCTAGTTAAGAGTAAAGGGCACGTGTGGTGGAGTGATCGGAGGCGCTCTGCAACACACACGTGGAATCGATCCCGCACTCATGGCCCACCAAGCCTTCCATCCCTCCGGAGTCGGCAAATTGGTAGCAGCCTTGTCTGGGAGGATAGCAGCGCTGGCTCGATACATCAGTAGGCCACCGCGAATCATTTTAAAGGCCAAATATGCATTCAATCACTTCTAAACGATGCTCAATGAAGTCGAATGCATGGCGCATCCCTCAGGGACTGATCAACGCCAAAAGCTTTAGAGCCTTTATGGTCCAATGAAGCTGTTACTTGATTTTTAAACTTGTTTAGAATTAAAATTTTCAAATGAAACGAACATGAAATCAGAATTTTTAACATCCGAAACTAAATCCCGATAGCCACAAACACCGCATTTGGGAACATTCTAGTGTTGTAACGGACAAGATATCGCTTGTTCATTCGCTTCCATTTTCGAGACATGACCCTCGACAAGAAAAGTGCCAAAGCACGAATTATGAACTCTGTAAAGTCAGGATTCTATCAGGAAGCCTAGCTAAGAGTAAACCAATACCAGGATCGACCACCGTTCTGGTATCAAACTAGTCGCATATTGCTAAATCTCCCTGTAGTCCACGATAGCTGTGACTGCCTGTGGTGGTGACGACCTGGGCAGACTTTGGCTAAGCTGAACTCGGGACTTCAGGAAAACAATAGCTAAACCAACAAAACTCCGAAAAATGGAGATTATGCTGGGGCCCACACAGTTAGTGAGGACGGGCCGTCCAAATATCCAGCTATAAAGTCAGGATTCCTTACTAGAATAAGAGGTCATATATGCCATTAATGAAGATCTGAAGATTTTTACGCTTTCATTTAAATCAATAAAATTCATTTCGAGCTGAGATATGTTGGATTCAATTTGAAGAGGCCGTTATTTTAGCACCGTATGAGTTGAAATCAACTCCCGTCAGAAACTAAGTGTTAATGGCAACTCAGTTATTGCTACAATGTTATGAATAATCGCCTAGGTAATGCGGACCTTAGCACTTCTTCAATGTGTTTCGTAGCTTTACAACAATCACAGTTGTAGGTCGTCGCCGTCGTAGGTGGGTTCGGCTACGGCGTGAAGACCCATTCTTTCTCTTTATTGACTTAAACTTTGGAAAACTCATTCATTGGCTCAACTTCAGTAAAACTTTACAACAGCTAAACATTCAGAGAGGTTCTGTGTAAACTTCGGAACAAATTTAGCATGAACACGGTAGTTCGCCCTTGGGATAAAATAAAGCGTCAGTGTAATTCATGCAAAGGACTGCGAACGGAAGCCAAAGTTGTTTTAGAGCGCGTCAACTGAAGTGATGGGAGGGCAAAAAATTAATTCGATGACGTTATCGTTACTCCTAATAGCAATGTTGTTTGTTTTACTCATCTAGTTACTAGGTTCACATGCTTTTACTTCCATGGGATCTTTTTTTTGACTTTTGAATGCGAGTAACTGATCCGAAAGTAAGGTGTATACTATCGAGAGTCTACTATGATACCAACTTGGATGGCCCGTCCTTACTGATTGTACGGGCCGCAGCGTAATCTCCATTTTTTTCGAAGTTTTGCTGGTTTAGACAATGTGTTCCCAAGACTCCCGAGATCAGCCTAACCAAAGTCTGCCCCTCGTCGTCATCACCACATGCAGTCGCCGCTCTTATGGATCAGAGGGAGATTGGCCACCATGTGACTATTTTGATGCCAGGACGGTGGTGGATCCTAGCATTGGTTTACTCTTAGCTTGGTTTTCTTGTAGAAACGCCGGACTCCTTCTCAGCTTGGGAGACCCTGCTAGATGGATTAAATCTCCCGCTGTACGTCGCATTCCGACACCAGGAACACCTCCTAACCACGATGAGACTGTTGGGAAGATGAAAACTTATATATCTTAAAAATATATATAAGATAAATGAAAATGACGCCGCTTGTACAGTTTCACGTTTATTTCACACTGTTTAGGCTATGTAATTTTTAGGTTATTTAGTTTCTGAAATGTTTTATAATCCCATCTTTTGTTAAAGGAACAGTTGAAATGAAAGTTGTTTCTGTAAAAATGAAAGATAAAACTCTCGGCGTTGATCAATCCCTGAGGAATGCGTCATACACTCGACTTCATTAAGCATCGTTTGGAGGTGATTGAAAGCATATCTGGCCTTTACAATAACTCGCGGTGGCCCACTGATGTATCGAGCCAGTGCTGCTATCCTCCCAGATAACTCTGGTACCAATGTTCCGAACCCGGAGGGATGGAAAGCTTGGTGGGCCGTGGGCGTGGGGATCGATTCCGCGTGTGGTTGCAAGGGGCCTCCAACCACTGCGCCACACGCGCCTATTTTTTCTGCATTCATGTTTCTGTAAAAGGTAGCATTATTGGTATTCATTTCTTATTTAGATGTTTAGATAGGCTATATTCACGTGTCTCGTGGACCCCAACACTTCTTCCATTGGTTTCATGGATTCTTAGAGTCTTCTGCAAAAGTGGTTCCATTCTCATTTGGGCTACAGAATCGGAGTCTGGAAGTTGATTCCAGTTGTGAGTATAGCTGGTTGACGCATCTAATGCGCACGTCGATCACCATCTTTTTGGGGGACTCCGTCGATGTCATTGATTTTTCTTTTCGATATCCACTTAGGTGCTCATTTCGTCCACCTGTCGTCTCAGTTATTTTTATGCGATAGGCTCATTGTTGTTTATGTCTTGAGAAGTATTCTGCTGAGTCTTGAAGACGGGATTTTCTTCGAAGATCTGGAAAACGAATACTTGATTGGTGCTGAGTGCTACAATTCATCTTCAGAATACGTTACTCGAGTCCAGTGGACTGTGTGTTATACAGGACTTCGTCGATGTGGCTCAAATATTAGCTTATAACCACAACGATCCTGAGATGTTCGCAAAACTTAGAACTCGGGCCAAATCGAACCACGATTTCCCTTTCTGGGGACTCGCTCACTACCTACTGCCCCACGCAGGCTCTTGCTCAGCGTTCCTCTCAACTGCCGCCGACGGGTGATTGCTCATGGCAGCGTTAGGTAGGATACTAACTGAGAGGAATACACAGAGCAAAGGCTTTCGTGGCGCAGTGTGTAGTGCGCGAGTCCCCAGAAAGTGAAATAGTGGTTCAATCTGGTCCGGAGTCCAAGTTTCGCGAATATCTCAACATCGTTTTGGTTGTAATTCACATCATACCATGCCGTTAAACTCCTGCAAAGCACTGAGCTCAAGAACTGTTGAGTTAAATAATTTGGCATGTAACTCAGTAAGTTAAACCTTTTGTTAGAAGCCGTCTTAGACCAGCTCACGCTGTTGGTTCTCTTCTACTGAGTTCTCATCTCATGTCGTTATTCACTGAACACCCCCAACACCATGTGGTCTCTTCAATTGATGATTCATTCAGGATAATCCATTCTCATTAACATCAGCCATTCTGTATGAACTAAGTTTTAATCTTTTCGATTCATGGTTTACTTTTCTCCCTGCTTCATTCATCTCAATAAAAATTGTCTTTGCTTTTGCGCAACTGCTCTGAAAGAGGCCAGTATGATTCCCTGTTCGAGAAGCTGCTTAGACCACTACCTATAGCGTGAGAGTAACTGCATCGTCTGTATTCTTTGATTACTATTCAGTTTTTTTTGTGATAATATTGCTGCTGTTCCATTCTATATGCTGTCTATGATTTCCTAAAGCTACATTTTTACTTCTGTACTCTTCATTTTCTAATTCCGATTGAATTCAGCTCTCCTACTTTTGTTTATTTTTATTACTAGCAAACCTATGCCGTTCCTTCGTACCAGACATATTTACTAACTTCGCCCGTTCATTTTTCGTTTTCACAGACATTATTTCAGCGTAGTCAATAAACTTGTCTGTTTTGTTAGCAGATGGGTGTTTTCGATTCCGTGCTTCGCGTTGTCCTCTTCAGACTGCAACAGTTTTTCTGGACCGCCGTAACCCTAGTAGGTCTGGCGAGGGATTGTCTGCTTTACGGAGCCGAATGCTTTCAACTAAAACCTCATCCCAAACCGAAATGTCTAGAAGGATGGGATGAGCATTACATTCAACTTAAGGTGGTTTTTAAAGTTATGTATATATATATACATATATATATGCATTGTGGTGCTGTTTTGTGTTGCAATTATCTCCTTATTTTTTCTCCTTATTTTGGTTGTGCTCTTCGTAGTTTCTTAATTGTTAGTAGTTAAACGCCATTGAAATTTGCTTTTGCTCCTGAAGTAGAAAAGATCCTATTGGTTCCAACTCCTATTTTAATTTTATGAAACTTGTATTTCATATTCGTTTTGTTTTTTTTAATTTTAAAGCTGGTTTTTGTCTCATAAAAACAGTGGCTAGATGCCGGTTGTTCACTGTTTGCTACTTTGCAGACCATTCGCCTTCACTACGTCCAGACTGGATTGAACGATAAGCCGCTACTCCTGATGCTTCATGGTTTTCCGGAGTTCTGGTACTCATGGAGGTTCCAACTAAAGCATTTCTGCGATCGGTACAGGTATGAGCGCGCCATGATATTCTTTTACCGACTATTGTACAATTTAAATTCTCACATTGAGAACCATTGCTGGATAAGAAAGCTTCTCTTTACATGAATGCCTAGAGAAGCATTCTAGATCTTTCCCACGTCGGCTCGCCTATTGTCTGAGAGGGATATGTAACATATTGTGTATACAAGTTTCCCAAAGAGCTGATTGCAATTTCTGACTTTTTGTTATTCCATCTTGTCGGGGACTTCGAATGGGAATGTGGAGTCTGCGAAGAGAATGGGTAACTCGTTTGGGGGAATGGACACCTGCTAGGCAAAAGATTTTGACAACAAAGAATAGTTAACGAATAAAGATCTAGGTACCGTTTAGGCCGATGGAAATTTCCTTATATATCAATAAATGACTTTTCTTTAACCTTGATATGACTACGCAACATGTATTTCTTCATTGATAAGCTAACATGAAATCGATAAAAACTCTATTCGATAAGCGAACATGGTTTATTATCAACCTCGTGTTAACTTAACGATGAAGGACATGTCCTCATATAGAGGTAAAGTCATAAAGAACAAAAGGATAAAGCTTTCGGCATTGATCAATTCCTGAGTGAGGCGCCGTGCATTCGACTTCATCAAGCATCGTTAGAGGTGATGGTATGCATATCTGACTTATACAGTGACTCGCGCGGGGCCTAGCGGTGTATTGAGTTAGTAGTGCTATCTTCTCAGACGGGTCTGATAACAGTTTCCGACCCCAGAGGGATGAAAGGCCCGGGGCGGAATCGAACCCATGTGTTTTGCAGGACCCCTCTAACCACTGCACCCTTTGACGTAAAGTCATAGCCAAAGTAATCAAGAGGACAAGTAGTGTAAAATAGCGAAAGCACTAGTGTCGACGTGGAAAGTTTTATTCTGAAAAGCTGTTCAATGCATTTATCACATTTATCATAGTATAAGACATATATGATCAATTTGTAGCCGGAAATAGTTTATTCCTTCAACATTGACCTCTACTTGAATTCATACTGAAATTTATTAATGTAAATAGAAATATGGACTGCAACACACACTGGATTTGTCGCTGGTTCAATCCCACGCCACGGGCTCGTTGAGCCTTTCATCCAGGGTCGGTAAATTGGTATCAGACTTGTCTAGGAGGATAACAGCACTGATTTCATATATCGTTAGGCGATCACAAGTCATTGTATAGGCAAGCTTTGAATTCAACCACGTCTGTGATGCTTGACGAATTCGAATACTTGGCGTTTCTGTGAGGGATTGATCAACACCGAAAGCGTCACCTTTTTTCCTTTCTTTTGTCGCGAATGTGTTAGGAAACTTTTTAATATTGATTGCTTCGAAACTTCTGAACAACTGGTTTGAAAGCCATTTCAAAACCACAAGCAGTCATAATAGTAATCATTGTGACAACATACACATTCGTGACGATGCCGATTTTTCGATAAAGAGAAAGCTTGTGAACCTTTTAACTGTACGAATCTATAGGCGAGATTTCGTTTTAGGACCAAGTGATGACTTCCCTAAGGTCTGATTTTAATTCTTAATCTTCATTCAAGGAGACCAACTATGTTGTGAACTCAGATATGTTTTCTCAAGAATGAAGGGCTAAACAGTTTCAAACCACTTATGCATTGAAACCATTGCGTACCGCCATGAATGCGCCAACAGAATCTATTCTGTCGGAGACATTTAGTGGGAAAGTTAGCAGAAATGCCGAATTTAGGTGTGTGGCAGTCGATCAAAGAGGTTACAATCTGTCCGAAAAGCCAAAGGACGTCGGGGCTTACCATATCAATTTTCTAGTGAATGACATTAAAGAGCTTGTCGAGCAGCTCGGTAAACATTTCTCATGGCCACGTTCACTTCCGTTCTTTGTTCCTTTCCGTTTCTTTTTATTTTTCATATTTCATAACTTTTGTTTTTAGGCATTTTTTGTGTTTCTTATAAGTAAGCTAATCACTGATGGGACAATTTGAATAAAAAACCTAAAAGAGAGATATTTAAAAAAAGAAAAAAGGATCTAATTGTAAGAAATTGGGATTGATTCTGGATTGCGAAAGGAATGACTCAGAAAATTATCCAAAAACAACGAGACTCTTATATGTCGTAGTTTGGGCTTAGTTTTTAATCACTTGAGACTTCGTTGTGGTTGGCTTCTTTTAGAACATTTCGACTCATACGAATTGTTCAATAATCTTGTAACTTGAAACTGTGGGTGAAGAACACTTTGTTTCGAGGTGTCACAAACTCGTGGCGAAAAAATATTTTTAAAAACGAAGAAGTAACTTATAGGAACAAGCAAAGCGAAATAGAGTTGACAAAGTTGATTTCGTTCCTGTTTCAAAATGATCAGTAGGCGTAACTGATAAAATATACCCACTATCGACTAGCGTTTTTTCCATCAGAGTCATTCCAGCTGGGAAGAGTTTTCTTATTCTGTCCGCGAACCTCTGGGTTCTTGTGTGTGACGGAATCAATCGAATGCATTACTTGTCGTTCAAAAAAACCTTCGATAACGCTTTTTTGACCAGTGAGAGTTACTAAACAGCGAATAGAAAAATCAGGTCTTCATACAAGGTTCATTATGCTGTCTTAACCATCAACGAAGGTTTACATTGAGGATTAGATGGTAATGGGCGAAGTTTTGGAAGTTAAAGACTCTTAATGAATCGCGTCTCTGTAATTGTTTTCATACAGAAATAGCTTAATCAGCTTAGTTTTGGCTTTCAGAATATCTGGCGCTACCCAATTTCCCTCCGTCCATGGGTCCACTGCCGCCAATTTTCCATCGTGTTGTATTGTGGACTAATTCGTCATTGAATTCCGTAGCACCAAACCTCCTACGCGCGCGACACTTTATAGAGCGTTGTTAACCAGCTTTGGATGGATAGATAATTTATGGTTGAGGCTATTGTTTTTTGCACTAGTAATCACCTGAACCACTCTACTATTTGTACTCTCAATGGTGGTCGACGAGGAAGAATTGCTCACTGGGTTGTTTTTGATCTAGGAGCTTGAAGAACGTAGTGTTCTTCTTGGATCGTCTAAAAGTCGTGCCACTTGGTCGTTTTTCTGCTGTATACGTGACATCCACTGTGACCCCAATGGCTCTCGTCTACTACTTGTCGTTAGGATGGGCCACGTGCACAGCTAATCTGGTTTTCAACATCTTAGCGGTCCCACATCTGTGGTTGTCGTCGTCAGTGAGAAAATTAGATTTCCCTGTTACTTACGTGGTAAAGTACCCGTACTATCAACTTTCGATACCGCTTCCCATCACGGTAAGTGACTCTCTTCCTGCTTGGGTAATCTCCAGGCTCCATATATTGTACATTAAGTTTAGCTGAATTGTTTACTCCGATCAGTTGAGTAAGCAAATCGTTGATCATGTTCACTTCTCAACTTACGTGCATATAGCTGAGCAGATATTCATTTCGTTGATCCCGAATTTGGGTGGTGGTCATCAGAAACGAATCGGTTTTCTATGAAAATCGACTTCTTTATATTTAGCGAAAGACCAATCCTTTGAGCAAAATTGGTGTAGATTCCGACCATCGACTTTCACTCCTATGTGATCTCATTTCAGTCTTTTTTGGAGAGTAGCTGCAAGTAATTTTGGAGAAATGGTATCGCACTGCCGAATTTTCCCCTTCATCTTAGCGTTATGTCATTTTAAACTGCTCAATCTATCACCAGTAACTTACTATACAATGTTTGTCGTTTGGCATACGTTTTATTTTATCGTAGTTAAAAAGTAGAAGTCAAAAGCATTGAGAAGGTACTTGCTGCAAATATTAGCTGAACATCAGTTACGTTTAACGGCAATGCTAATCTATCAAAGGCAAAATTTAGGCTACAAGAAATTTCTCCTAATGGGTCACGACTGGGGAGCAGCCATTGCGTGGAGAGTGAGTGATATGCTATTCTCAGTATAAAATTGTAATAAACAAACGATAACTATTTAATGTGATTAACTAGCTCTCTAACTAACGCATTGAAGATTATACGCTCCTTTTCAGTTTTGTTTTGCTTCTCTTTCAGCGTTTTGTTTTTCAAAATTCAACAAGCTATGACTCACAACCACAACGATGCTGAGATATTTGCAAAACTCCGGACCGCAGGTGTATGTCCGGGGAGTAACGCGTTCACCACCACACCAAGTGGGTCCTTCGTTTCGTCTGTCTCTCAGCTAGTTCTATCGATCACTGCCATCAGCAATCACCCGTCAACGGGATTGATCTGCAGAGGCCACATCGGCATTGAACCCAGTTAAGCTGTGGCTGTAGTTGAAATCACAACGTTTTATATGCTACCAATTACAATTCTTCATGGCAGATTATTATGCGAAATACAACCACTATTAGGCAGCAAATAAAAAATACGACATTGTGATTTCAATTGCTGCCACAGCTGAACTGAGTTCAACGCCGATTGGACTCCCCAGGTAAATCCAGTTGACGGATGATTGCTGATGGCACTGATCGATAGAAAAACTAGCTGAGAGACAGACGAAACGAAGGACCCACTTGGTGTGGTGGTGGACGCGTTAGCCGCCGGAAAAAGTAATAGCGTGTTCGTTCCTCACCACAGAGAACTGCCATCCGGAGTTTTGCAAATATCTCAGTATCGTAGTGGTTTATTTCGCATAATAGCCTGCCGTGAAAAATTGTAATAGGTAGCAAATAGAAAGTAAAACATTGTGAAAGTATGACTTAGTTTAATGCGATTTAAATATTTCGTTTTAAGTTTGCTCTGACCTATCCGGAACTCGTCGAAAAGCTGATCATCTTGAACGTACCGCATCCGAGTGTTATGCCGATTTTGTTGAAGACAAGCGCAGAGCAGAGACGCAAAAGCTGGTTTGCATGCTTGGAGAAAATAATGACTTAAAACATTTTTTACTACTTGGATGGTCCGTTACGGATCATTCAGTTTCAGACAGAAGCACTTTTTGTTTCATTTTCTTGCAACAGTCCTATATGGACGTGTTTTATTTCGTGCATGGCGGCACTTTCCTTCCTTGTCTTTCTGTCGCCCATTCAAGAGTAGGACTTCTTTGCGAATTTTTTCCATAGTGCAGTAATTTTTGGCTGAACTTTTTGGAAATCGTCTTTCCTTCAGAGGCCTTTCACATAATGGAAGTGTTGTTGATGAAATAGGGATTTCTCATTAATGTGTGCGCCTTTTTCTTCCCAATCGAGGGCTCTGTCTCTGGGGTATTGTGAATTTTACTGGTTTCTCCTCTCCTTTTTTTCGATTAGCAACTTCATTTTCGAGTTCAAGGACCACGAGATACCGAAGTTGTCATCGCAAATAGTCAACATCCACTGTGGTCTAAAGGGGAATTTTTTGATGTTTTCCGAACACTTTATACCTACCTCTTTACTGTTAAGTAACTTTTTTTGTACCCGAGAAAAATACGAACATCAGCATGAATATTTCTCACATTCAAACCATTCTACTGTGGTATTCACAAATAGGACTCTCTGTATATGGAAGATACAGGTCAGTCTAATAAGACAAGGATAGGAGAGCATTCTATGAATGTAGTTCCTTTTGTGACAAATATATTTACATTCCCATACACACTGGGTTGGTCGTTGGTTTGATCCCACGCCTCAACTTTACAAACTCTTCGATCCTTGCAGGTAGGTTTTTGCCACCACGTTGGATAAAATGCGCTGAATTGATGCATCGGTAGGCTATCTGCAGTTACTATGTAGGGCAAATGTGCATTCAATCACCTCCAACGATGCCTAATGAAGTCTAATGCGTGGCCCAACCCTCAGGGATTGAACAGCACCAAGAGCTTTATCCTATTATCCTTTACATCCTTTTCTCTCTCCTTCCTTTTCGATTACCAAATCTATTGGCGTTCATTTCAAGTTTACACAACATCATAACGCAGTTTGTACCAAAATCGAAAGGATAGTTGCCTTCAACTTTCTTATTTTTTTATTTTCCATATGAATTGGACGATTTTTATCATAATAAAATGTTGTGTGCAGATGGTGGTCTCCAGTTTGCAGGTACGTATTCATGTTTCAAACGCCAGTGGTGCCAGAGTTGTTTACCAGAAGTCGTGATTTTCATATGTTCGACGTAATGATCCGAGGAAAGAAAGCCGGTATAAGGCATAGTGAAAACTTCACCGATGAGGATCTGGAAGCGTGGAAGCACGTGTTCAGTCAACCGGGTATATTATTCCACTTTTTTCTAGTTTCCTTTTTATCCCCAACACATTACAGGGCTTTTCACGTAAAAGGACTGTAAATGGCAAATATTTAGATACTTAGATGGCCGTCTCTTCGTCTTTAAGTTATCATTACTTCTTTTATTCATTTCGTTGTATTGCAATCGTCACCCATACAAGAGTTTAGAATTTGCCTTCTTCCTCTGCTGAGATGTAGGTCCTGCTTGAGTATTTTTTTATATGGAATGTCGAATAAGCAGTATTAAGGAGGTCCCAAGTCTGTTCTTACCACTTTTGTTCAACGGCTTTTCTGGGTCACAAGGAAGTTTGCTGCCGCAGAACTAAGATGCACAGAAGTCGGGAACCATCTCAGTGTCTATTTCTGAGATATTCTTACCGACATACCGGGTGACCGACCATTAACGAAGTAATATGCTTATTCAAAGACGTTAAAGCCATAATCAGATATGAAAATTAATCAAATTTTGGGTTACATTCACTGAAAATTGGTAGACGAAGTTTGTTCTTGATAGAACAAACTTAGTTTAAGGGTAATTCCCAAGACGGACTCTCTGTTAACCTTGGCATTGATCAATAACTCATTGTTTTCTTAATAAGCGCAGGTGAGTTTATTACTGCACTCTTTTTTCACAAAGCTGACGTTTCGGCGGATTTCGCTTTGTTTGTAGAAAGGCCAAGTTAACCGGAACCTGCACAAAAGCTAGAATCCAATTAAATTTAAATCGCAGAACGATGTCAAGAAAAGAGGGATTAAAAAAAGAGGGACTAGGGAGAGGTTAATGGGCAGATAAATAGACTTTTCTTATCTCTGGATGGTAGACCTTGGGACTCAAGCGTTTCCTTTCGAACGGAGAAGACCATGGATTTTGGTGAACATTTTAGAAATTGCTTATTAGAAACTGGAAAGCGGAAACTAATCTCTCACTCATTTTTTTGTGATCTTGCCGATATTTCTTCTCATTTCGACCTTCGAGTTTTCATACAAGTTTGTCTTCTATTTAGGGATTTTGTTGTCTACATAAATGTTGCTGAGTACTGGTCGAGCTGAACGTCACTGGAACAATGGGGTGGCTTTGCTACAGTCTACTCAACTCCTTGCCACTAGTCGGTTTTTTGTGGACAGTAGAGAACTCTTCCCAGACAATTTGACGATTTCGAAAGGTTGAATGTTGCTTGGCTCGGAGCGGTGTTGAACCTGTAGGTACGGTGTATGTATTTCGTAGTATCTCTAACCATTATGTTTAATGTGTGCTACCGATATTTTTTTTATTTTGTATGACCTGTCTTCACATCTACTGCTCGGATCCCAGAACTTTTCACATTCGATTGGTTTCGTCGCATCCACTGTCCACGAAGATCTTCCAACTTTTACATGTGGCTTCGGTTGCTGCTTGAGAATTTTCATTTCATCTTGAATGTCGTAGAATGCTGATTGAGCAATTCTAACTCTAGTCCTGAGGTAGCCCGGCTTAAGCGTTCTCATTTGGATTGCTGGGAGTGATTATTTTCCCAGACTAGTCCTGTACCAATTTCCCGACCCCGGAAGGTTGAGCGGCTTGGTTGGTCCGGAGCGGAATCGAACTACCAACATGCTCGTCATGACGTACATCACTACCACTGCGTTATCCGTCCCTTTCTGCCGATATATGAGCGTTTATGTTTTAGAAGTGTAAAAACATTTTAGTTGTCTTTCGCTGTCTAGCAGTTATGAAGAAATATAGTAGGGCATCAAAAAAGTTCTACGTTTTTTAAAATAACATCAAGAAAACTTTAGAGCTATAGAATAATTTATAACCAAGGTCATGTTACCCCTCGCCATGTGACCTTTCTAAAGATCTCTTGGAAACTTGAGAATTACTAAGAAAATGCTCTCTTGTGGAGTGTTCAAGGATCGCTAGTAAAGAAGTTTTCTGGAGGTATTTCGACACTCTAAAGGAACGAGGCACTGAATGTGTTTTGTTGTGATCAAAACAAGTTACAGTCGGGTGACCCAACGTGGTAGGGCAATGGCGATAGACTTAAACAAATTACCGTTCTCGTCTTACAATTCATTGCTAGTGTTCATACGTGGAAGCAACCACTTCTGTCACTCTCAGATGTGCTATTTGAGGGCTGTATAGCTGTAATCTTTCTCTCCGACTCTGTGGCTAACGTAATGATAAGCTCCTTTCTTCATTCTAACTAATTCCATGGCACAAATAGCGTATTTTTGTCAATTTGTAGAGCAGGATAGAGCTCATCTCTGGAGATGTTCGATGGAGCACCAAAAGGCTCCAGGATCATTGCTTGGCGCAGTTCCGATAGAGGACCCTTTTCTTTTCCTGTCGTTGATTATCTGTCCGGTGAAGACGTCGTCCTTGATATTCAAATTACTGAGTTAGCATTTTATAAATTACCTCGAATTGTGTCATCGGAATCGTTGCTTTTTCAGAAGAATGTTTCAGTTTCATTCTTGTTCTCAAAATATCCCTACATAATTCACTGCTTTCCTTTAGTCACTAAACAGGCTGGTACTGTATCATTTATTAGCACACAATAGCTGACCTTTCGGCGGCTTCGTCTTCTTCGGAGCTCGGAAAGGTCAATTTACTCGGCCAAACACTTTCGCAACCTTAGCATATAAGACTTAACACATAAAGTGGCATTCGCCTAATAAACAGGTTCTCTTAAACACCCGTTTTATCCATTGTAAATATTCCAGTTAACTGGTGGAGAGTAGCCGCACAGTAATACGTGGGTGAGGGATGTGCATGGGTCAGGTCGTAGAATCAGTCTAGAGTATGTTGCAAGATCACACGTGATGGCAATACACTCCTCCTTAAAGAATAAAGGATAAAGCTCTCGGCGTTGACCAATCCCTGAAGGATGTACCCTGTTTTCGACTTCATTAAGTATCATTGGAGGTGACTGAATGCATATCTAGCATTTACAATGACTCGCAGTGGCCTACCGATGTGTTGAGCCACTGTTGCTATCCTCCCAGACAAGTGTGGTATCAATTTGTCGACCCTGGAGCTATGGAAGGCTTGGTGGGCCAATGGCGCGACGATCAATTTCACAAGTGTGTCGCAGTGGCGCCTCTCCTCCTTACTGTTCATTTTTGGATTTCTGGAATTAATCTAAAACGCTTCAAGAGTTTTACGCGCTAATGTTTTGGATTCCTTTGCGAGGATGGTGACTTTTAGTTCAAAATTTTCTCCGTTATATTCCTATGTCTTACATGCATCTAAGTGGGATGTTTGATTTCAATTTAAACTTGCCGGCTAGGTGTTCTTTTAAATGGATGTAGAGTTATCTACCCATTTCGCCAATATGTTCGTTCCTACGCCCTTTACTAGGGATTAGATATACCGTACCCGAACTTACTTATTCATCATCTCTACCGTTAGGTATGTTTTTTCGTTGTACATAGACCGTCATAGGCGGTTACGAATTTGCTGGCGTCTTAGAGGATCCGCTGGGATTTTTATGACTGTTACCGTATTCTTTAGACCGGCCTTTCTTAAGCAACTCCCTATAGATGCATTTATTTCGTTGGAAATAAAGGGCAGGATAAATAGGACCTTATCGTAGGTAGAGTTATCGTTTGGGAGAGTGGTTTTTGCTCTATGCTTATCCCGAAGTGCTAAAGTTTCGAAGCCAATTTCAATAATTCTTGCTTCTGCTCCGTTCCTGTGCACACAGTGGTGGCTGTTCGAAACATAATTTGAACATTCAGGAATGGGAGCCGGTTTTTTTTTTTGGTTTCTTTCGAGTAAACCTAGTGTACCGTGACTCTTCGTTCAATAATTCTAAGCATCTGTCCATCACCTCTTATGTAGAACAGATAACAAAACAATCATTTATATATCTACAGTAGAGTTACGGCAGGAGATCGACTGCCGGTGCTTCCGCCTATGACATAAAGGCAATGGCAAGTCCAAGGGCCAGTCGCTGCCCCATTGCTATCCCTCTAATTTGTGGGTTATACTTCCCGAACCATCTGAAGATGGAGCACTTTAAGCGCACCTTTAGAAAGGTTATGAGCTGCTAAATTGATAGGCAATGAAGGTTTGAAGCTTTAGCTCTTCATATTAAGTGCAGAGAAAAAACCACACCCGGTGATTCCAGCGGAAATAAGGTCCTGTTTATATTGTCCCAGCGAAATAAGTGCAAGTATTAAGTGCTGCTTAGAAACGGAAAGTCTAGAAAAATTGGTAACAGTGATTAAAATACCACCGAAAACTTTCAGGCGTCAGTTAGTTCGTAACCGCCTGTACAACCATCTATGCACAACGCAAACTTGCATAATATGTCCTGAAGGTAGGGTGATTTTATGAGTTCGGGTGTGGTGTGCCTACTCTCTTGTAAAGCGTTTGGGGAAGAATGCATTGATGAAACGGGTAGACCACTGTTCTTCCATATAAAAGAACACCTAATCTTTAAGTTGAGATCAAACATTCCACTAGGCGCGCATAGGACACAGAAACATAACGGAGAAGATTTGAAGTAAAAGTCGCTATCCTGACACTTTCGCACAAGAATACAAAACATCAGTGCGAATGCGTGACACATCTCTAAGGGATTGGTCAAAGCCGAGAGCTTTATCCGTTATACCCTATGGAAGTGGAATTCCTGGAGAGCTAACCGAAAATTCATACCGGAACGTTAGTGAGCTTAAAAACCTAGTGCTTGTAGACGAACCTATACTAAACGATCCAAAGAGGTTTCCGCATGTTGTTAAACAATGTCGGGTTTGTCTTGTCATGTTTGTCTTTGAAATTGATTTTGGATCATTTGTTAAAACAGGAAAAAATGGAAGAAGTAGAAGTGATGGGTTCACTGACAGTAACTCCCACGTCCGACTTTCTGTTAACATCGGTATTGATTGAATAATTCTTTCTACTTCTGTTTAGCAAACATGAGGTGTTATTTTATTTCTTTATTTACGTACAAACTGACGTTTCGGCGGATTTCGCCTTCCTCAGAGCCTGAAAGCATTCCATGTGAACTCTGTGCGGTTGGTCTCCACGTGACATATTTAGAGGAAGACTTATAGAAAGCGGTGAGTGTGCAAAGACTCTGTGTTCAATGTGATTGAAATTTTGGTTCAGCATTTTCTCTGTTTGGTTATGGAGGTGTTTGGCCGTGTAGATTGCAGTCAACTTGACCCTTCCAGGCTCTGAAGGCGAAATCCGCCGAAACGTCAGCTTGTACGTAAATAAAAAATAAAATAACACCTCGTGTTTGCTAAACAGAAGTAGAAGGAATTATTCACTGACAGTGGTGGTGAACGAATGGACAAATACACCATTCTATTAATGCAGGTGCGCTTTCGGGACCGATCAACTACTACCGTAATATCACTGCTTCACGTTCATTTGAAGGAGATCCGATCTGTAAGGTAAGTTCAATGACTAGCTGATTTATTTTAGCACAAAACGTCTGATATGTATTGTACCGAATGCATATGATGCCAGAGTAACGGCCACTGTCAAATCCATACCAATATATCTCAGTTCATATCGAGCCACTTCGAGTTAAGCTAAAATTCATTAGAATTCACAGATCTTCCCGTATAAGGTGCACGTTTTCTTACTATATCGAGGTAAAATTCTGTTTACTGCAGCTCACAGGACTTTTCCTTTTTTAAATCGACGCTGCTATTTGGAACATCGAAGTAATGAACGAGCCGAATTTTGTCCAGCAGGACCCGATAGTGTTGCGCAGTATACTCTTGGTGTTTGTAACTACCACGCTTTAGTTGAATTTTTAAAAGTTTTAATTCTACTTTTCTTTTTGTAAAGTTTGGTCTTAAACGGTTTGGAAGTTAGGAACAAATAGGGTATAATAAGTATTTATACTTTTGAGTCGATAGCGCTAAGCCTCATCTCTAAATGTGTGAAGTTCTAAACTCCTCAACTGTTCTAGTTATCAGTAAAGTACTGGTAGTTGTCGAAAAAGCACCACCGAGCTTTACGTTCTAATTAGGATGGAGTTCATTTAACAGAGTTTTTTCAGCCACCTACCATAATAATCTGGGGTGATGAAGATCAATTTCTCACCAAAGAATCAGCAACAGCGAGCTTACAGGTGGATGGGTATTTCAATACGCCTTTATTTCGAAGAAAGACCTATTTTTTCAGTTCTGTCAAAATGTCCAGTTAAAATTCATCGAAGGTGCTTCGCACTGGGTAATGCAGGACGTGCCATCACGTGTGAATGAACTGGTGGACGAGTTTCTCGCTACGCCGATTTCGGAAAAAAATTCCTAATTTGAATCTACTGTTTTATAGATTTTGTAAAATGTTCGCCAACTAACGATTTCTGTTTATGAATTAACGTCATCTTTAGCTCTTTCGATGTTGAAGGGAATGCGAACCTACAGCTTTTCGTTCTTTAACTGTGACCAGTTTTATGAGTATTGATTATGCTGAACAGATTTTGTAAACGTATTTAGATAAATATACGATCAATAAGTAGGTATTGCATACATTTCCAAATACATATATAATCACAATTTTAACTTTTTATTTACTGTTTATTACGATTCTTAACGACAGGTTGTGTGATACAATCACAATGATGCTGAGATATTTGCAAAACTCCGGATCGTAGTTGTCTAACGAAGGGGAGCGAACGTGCTATCACCCTTATGGGGGTCTAGCTCGTTGACTACACCACACCATGCTGATCTTTCCTTTAGCCTTTTTCTCAACTACTTTTCTATCTACAAGTGCATTGCACACTGAGTTAATCGCTGGTTCGATCCCGCACTTCAGGCTCCCCAAGTTTTCTAACATACTACGGTGTCGAAAAAGTGATACAGGGTTGTCTGGGCGGATAAAAATGCTGATACATACGCAGAGCAGCACAATTCATTCCATAGGCCAGATATGCATTCAATCACCTCTACGATACCACAAATGGAGTCGAATGCATGACGTATCATTCAGGGTTCTGCTTCAACGCCGTGTGCTTCATCTTTTTTACAATCAATTAAATAATTCATCTGCATAGAACGTCTGTAACGATTGCAAAGAGAGGACTGTGCGGTCACAATGCCTACAACTCATTTCATCATTCATTTTATTATTTATTTTACACGACCCGTCATCACATCTACTGTGGGATACCAGCACTTCTAGCAATCCATTTGTTTCCTGACAAGTATCGTCCACGAAGCCTTCTTAGAGGGTTCTTGCGTAGATTTGAGGGAGTGATTTGTGTCCAAATCACTCCGGCATCAATTCTCCGAGTCTCGAGGGATGAAGAGGCTTGGTGAAGCCGGTGTGAAATCGAATCAGTGCTGTTGTGTTCGTGATCGAGGGTATCGTTACCATTGCGCTACTCCCTACTTTTTTGTGACTGGACCACTCTTTTTGGAAGTAGACTTGTGGCCATAGCACATACCTGGCTAGCTGGATCACCAGTAATCTTAAACCTTCCAATAATGTTTCTTTGTCATTTCATTCCTTTACTATCGTTGTCGAAGTAATGGTAGGTCATTCCTTTACTATCGTTGTCGAAGTAATGGTAGGTTTCATGCTTCATAACATTTGCTAGCGTCATTTCCTGAGTTTTTCAGAGTCAGCTGCAGGGCACAACTGATTAGCACTGGGGACAAACTCCTCAGCCAACTTCGAAGACCACCCTCCTTGCTGCATCTTGGTTAGTTGATGACTTGAATGAATATCTATGTAGCCGCTTCAGTAAACGAAGAGATAGAAACGAAATTTTCAAGATTCGAAAACCTTTTAGTGGACGTGGTGTTTCGAAAATATTCATTTAACGAGAGCAATTTGCAATCACTGGACCTTCTCGAATTAGGAGACAGCGGTGTCCACATTGCCTTTCTCCGCTCGTATCATTGGCGCGAACGTTTGTGTATAGAATATCTGAAAGGTTATGGCTGAAGATCTAACGGCCTGGTTAATGAACGAGGCTACGTACGTCCCATAGTTGAGTCCACGACCAAAGCCCGGCGTCTCTTGACACTTTAATCAGATGGAATGTTGTACAAACGAGATCCTGTAAGACTAGTAAAGGGTTCTGTGCAAAAAACAAACGACGTTTCTGTTTACCTTAAACCAGCCAACCGGCTGCTTGTTTAACTCACCCATGCAATGTCCGGCTTCTCCCATATAAATTTTAGCACGAGATACAAATGATAGAGGAAGTTCTTGATGGCCTAGATCTCCAATAATCAAGCGTGCGTATACTTCGATCATAAAGTTTATTTTCATCAAATGTCGTATGTCGAGAAATGGTATTGTCTGAGCTTCATTTCGCAAAAGAAAGCAAAATTAGTAGAATTCTATCGACATGCGTCGTGAGAACAGGTATTAGGCAGAGGACATAGATGTCTCTTGTTATTTACATTAAAAGGATCTTTGCATATTTACTATGAGAAGACGGATACTTAATTCGCTGAAAACGGCACAGTGGTCGACATTTGTGCTTAACAGTGATTTTCAACTCCTATGTTTGTTGGATTAGCTTAATGACTTGGTTACTTACGTTATTGTGGAAATTGAGGTTACGGACTGTGTACTGATCGCAGAATTTGCTGCGGTCCGATGAATTACCGCCGTGTTGAAGTATGTAAGGTTGTGAGGCAACAAACCTCGTTGCGCGCTACGAGGTCCGATGACTGCTTATGGTAGTGAAGAGCTTGAAGCCCTTTCAGGCGGTTATCTCGGGACACCGCTAACGAGGAAGCGATCGACTGTTATTCATAATGTAAACACGAGATGAGAGATTCTCGTATAGGACCCGAATCTACAAACGAATCCTACAAATTCTGTATTTGACGGCTGCAAGAGAGCGAAATAGATGAAAGAAGTCCTAGAACTTTGACGTTGTATATTGAAAGGGGTCAACTAAGCAAATGAGTAGGTAGGAGCGTTATATAACACTGTATCGTTGAAATAATACGTGCTGCTGTATCCAGCTATTCAGAAGTGTAACAACGACTTTTTTGCCAAAATATATTCTCAATGGAAGTGTTACTAGAGTAGCCCTATCTTTAGCCACCTTAATGTTTTCTTTCGCATTTTTCTCCACAAAATGGTATGTGGTTGTTGGCACAAGACGTCAATCACCATTCCATAGATCGTTTGATTCCAAAAGGTGATTAAATACGCGATAATATCCTCCTATGGAGGTAGTTCAGACAGTTCTTGGATAACTTACCTAAGCACTACAACAACTTATTGCTCAATGCCGAGAAGAATCGAAAGCGCTATGTGAAGTTATTTTCGTAATTTATTGCCGCTACACTTACTATTCAATTTTTTCCCTTGTCTCACGCTGGTTAGTCGCGAGGCAAGGTAGCGCGTCCCCAAGTGACAGTTAGGGGGATAATTTCCAACCAAAAGTGCCGTTGCTCGTTTCTACTTCGCCAATTTGGCACATGCCACCCATTTTTACGAAGTCGTATTCATGCATGCGTGTGTGGATGTATTTCGGTTTATGCCGAGTGTATTCTACGAGTCAATTCAGCCAGAAGCCTGCAATCAAGTGAAAGGGAAGAGTATGGGAAGCGGTTAGAAGTCACCTGCAACTACTAAGCTTCCACGTCTATTTTAGGAGAAACTGGAAAGCTACCTGTGAGTATGCCCATCCTTCGTGTTCAGAGATCAGCAAACTACACATGAGTATTACACGCTGAACACAGTAAAGCAAAAAAGTGGCCCTTATTAGTTTTACTCCGAACAAACCCACAATATGGCAATGTTGGGTAGAACGAGCACGAAGAGGTTGTTAGAATCTTAGGGCCATTCCACGCCACCTAAATAACGAGGGACCAAGGCGACGATTCGCACCTACGACGTATGCTAACTTGAATCTGAGCTCTCGATGGAAGACTTCATCATGCAGGCAAGAAGGATAACGTACGACGGCACTGGACTAGCCAAGACGAGCAGACACTGCTCATTCAACCCTTCAACGCCGTCTGTGAAACCGGAGAAGAATTGTTCCTCGGGACATGTGACAGTAAAGGAATCGGCGGAGCCGGCGTCAATCAAACCGTAAACACGAGTTTGTCCATGAACGTCGATTCATTCGAACAACTAACAACCCGAATCAAACGTTTACGGTTGAACATATGTGGATCGTTACCGACTTTAACTATCTTCCTCGTTTACGCGCCGACATCAAACTATAACGAAGAAGAAGTCGAAGCGTTCTATATGGATTTGGAGAAGTTCTACAGAGGAGACCGTACAATGTTCAAGGTCATCATTGGAGACTTTAAGGTTAAGACTGAACGCAGAAGGACGTCTGATGAACATCATAGTGGGACCCACGGATTAGAATGGAACGAGCAGGATGAGTGGCTCTGAGTTTATCATGATTGCCAAGACCATTCATAGTAACTTGCAATTCGAGAAACTACACTCTAAACGCTGGATACGAAAGTATATCAGAGCAGAGCATATGACGAAATAGACTAGATCGTAGTAAACCCAAGGTTTTCGCGAACCTATGCCAATGTTTTCCCAGAATTCTACACGAGACCAGACTATCACATCCGTCATGCAATACTTCATTGTTAGTAGAAAGGAGGGAAAGCCGCAAAATTCAGAAGACGAAGTTCTAAAACCACCTTAAACTGGGATTTATTCAGTTCATTATTCCGCTGTTGGGAGGATGACGTTCTTTGCAACGCTGGCAAGGAATACGATCAGCTCATTCAGCATCTTCACGCTAGCGCTATGAAAGCTGAGAGTTCGAAAGCCACCAAGATCTGTATCCAGAAACACTCGAGCTAATACGCCAGCGTGGAATCGCACGAGCTGCAGGCAACCACGAACTAACGTCTGAACTTGCAAAACAATGCAGAGAGACGATAAAAGTGGATTTTAAAGAGAGAAGAGCAGCAGTAATGGTCGAAGCTTCAGAGGCTGGGAAAAGCATTCGCAAAGCCCACCGAAGCTTAGCCAATTACAAGACCGAAATGATTGCACTCTGGCGCCCAGACGGAACAGTTGCAGCTTCCAAAAGAGCAACGGAAAAAATCATTCACGATTACTACTCTGATCTTTTCAGTAACCAAGTAGCGCTTTTTTCATATAAAATAAATGAGGATGGTTATGTAATCCCACAACTCCCTTCCGGAATCTGACATGTTATTTCGTCGGTGAAGAATCGAACAACAGCATGTCCGTGGACTTAAACAGCTGAAGAACCTCCCGCAGTCCTCATAAACACACGGGCTCGGGTCTTCACACGTCACCTGTCAGAATCCAAGGTTCCTAATCAGTGAAAGACTAGCAAGACTGTGGTGTTTTTCAAGAACGAGAACCTCAACCATATCGGCAACTATCGCCTAATCTGCTTACTGCCTACCGTCCACGAACTCTTCACTCAAGTTATCCTAAACAGGGCTGACAGAACACTGCACGAAGGACATCTATGTGAGCAAGTCCAGTTTCGAAATGGATTCAGTATGATGGACCAAATCCAGAAGATAATAGGCTCATTGAAGCATCGCGAGAGTACAAATGGCAGCTCAGTCTCATTTTCATCTATTTAAAGAAGGCTTTTGAATCATTTGGTATAGAAGCAGTCATGGAAGCCCAGGACAGTTAAGGAGTCCCTACTCAATATATCAAAATCCTTCATTAGCTATATAAAAATTTTACAACCAGACCTTCACCATTTTATAACGATATTAACGATATATTGCCAAAAGAAGGGTTAGGGGAGGCGATACCATATTGCTAAAAAACCCGAATCTGACGTTTACGATTAAAAAGATGTGGATCAATACCGGCTTTGACAATCTTCGTCGTTAACGCACCGACATTAAACTACGACAAAAAAAAACGTTGAAGCGTTCTATATGGACTGGAGAGGTTCTACAGAGAAGACCATATACTTTTCAAGATCATCATTGAAGAGTTAAACGCGAAGATTGGACCAAGAAGAACGTCTGAAAAACTTCACATTGGGACCAACGGATTGGAATGGAACAAACAGGGTTAGGGGTTTTCTGAGTTTATGATTACGACCAAGAGCTTTCAGAGTAACTTGCAATTTAAGAGACCCCACTCTCAACGCTGGATGTAGGAGTTTCGCAATGGAGAGTACCACAGAGAAATAGACCAAATCATAGTAAATCGAATGTTTTACCTAGCCGATTCACTGTTGTCCCAAAATTCTACATGGGATCAGACCACTACCTCCTTCGCGCAAGATTCCACTTCTCGCGGAAAGGAGAAAAAGCGGCTAAATTCAAAAAACGAAGTCCCATAACCACTATAAACTAGGACTTAGTCAATTCATTAGTCGGCTGCTGGGGAGATGCCGTTGTCGACAATATCGACGAAGAATGTGATCGGCTCATTCAACATCTTCACGTTAGCGCTATGAAAGCTGAGAGTTCGAAACTCTCCAAGAGACGTCTGACTCGAGAAACACTCGAGCTGATACGCCAGCGTGAATCCCACGAGCTGCAGGCAACCGCGTACTAACGTTCTTGCAAAAGAGTGAAGACAGAAGATAAAAGAAGTTTTTAAAAAGAGTACAGCAGCAGTTATGACTGAATAGACAGAGGAAGAGCATTCGCAAAGCCCATCGAAGCTTCGTCAATTACGAGACCAAGATGATTGCACTCTGGCGCCCAGACGGAACAATCAAAGCGTCCGGAAAGGCAATGGAGAAAATTATTCACGAATACTACTCAGATCTCTTCGATAGCCACATGCACCTTCCGCCATATGAAATCAAGGAGGATGGATGTATTATACCACCGGCTTTCCCTTCCGAAATCCGACATGCCATTTAGTCGGTGAAAAATCGAACAGCATCAGGTGATAAAGGTGATGACAATGACAACAGCACTAACAGCACAGCACCGTGTCTCCTCTAGTGTCGCATGTTCCGAGAAACCGTTCGTCTCCGGTGTCACTGACGGCGTTGAATGGGTGGAGTCGTCTCGTGTCGGCCAGGCCGATGACGACGTACCCTATCCTTCTTGCTTGTGTGATCAAATCCTCTATCAAGGACTCGGATGCAAGTGTGCGTGCATTGTAGTTATAGATCATCACCTTAGTTCTAGTTACAGTCGAAAACCACCACAGCACAGGATAAGATCCGAACACCTGAAGAACCTTCCGCCAGTCCTCGTAAACACACTGGCTCGTCACGTTAACTGTCTGAATTCAAGGTTCCTACTGAGTGGAAGATCAGCAAGACCGTGTTACTGATCAAGAAGGGTGAC